TAATATCTATTACTTTTTAGATATTTAAAAACTTTCGAACAATACGTGCCGTATCCAAGAGAACTGAGTGTTGAGCCTCTTTCAGCACTTCAAGAAGTAATTTTAACCCCATCGTGCCTGCCACTGTTGTCTTTGGTATCAATCCATTGGAGGATATTATAATTGGAGTGGTGGTGACGTTCCCCAAATGATATAATTCCTTCAGTTCGATTGCCAGTTCCTGGTATTTTCTCAGTTTTTATCCAACAGTGGAGCTTATATTATTATCATTGGGGATCCCGACATCAATAAGCTCTGCTCTTTTCTATCTCATGTCTATCAGAAGGATGTCTGGTTTATTGTGGCGCACAGTATGGTCAGTTATTATCGATTCATCCCAGTAGAGCCTGAGACTACCTTTTTGGAGGAGTTTATTTGGGTGGTACTTATAATATGGAGTTTTGTCATCTAACAAGTTGAACTTCACCGCCAGAGCCTGATGAAAAATTCTAGCCACATTGTTATGCCTCTGGAGATACTCGGTGCCAGCCAACACTCCACATCCACCTGTGACATGTTGGATTGATTCCAGCGTCGCTGAGCATAATCGACATTTATCCGTAGTTGTTGCGTCTTTAAGAACATGCCTTCTATATGATCTAGTAGCAATAACTTGGTCTTGGATGGCGAGCAGAAATCCTTCTGTCTCGGAGAATATCTTTCCAGCTTTCAGCCATTCAGTGGATATTTCCTTGTCAATCGAGCTATCATTTTCAATGTTATTATTATTATCTCTTTATTTTCCACATATACAATGGTGTTTAAATTATGTAATAGTTGGGGACCTATTAGGTCAGCCAAAAATTACATTTGTATATTTTCTTAATTATTTAATATTTGTGAACTTCCTGACAATATTTGCTGTTCCCAACAACACCGCTTGTTGCATTCTTTCGATCGTCTGAGATGGTAGTTCTAGTTGTCGCAGAGAAGATACAGTTTCTTCCGGTATCAGTCCGTTGCACGAGATTACAATTGGCAGAATTCGGGTTTCCTTTAAATGATATAATTGTTTGATCTCTTCAGCCGATTCTACGTACTTTCTCTTTTTTTCCGCTACTACCTTGTGTAGGTTATCATCAGATGGAATTCCAATCTCTATGATAAACGCAGATTGCTTACTTTTATCTATTATAAGAATGTCTGGTCTATTGTGGGGGATGGTGTGATCCGTCAGGATCGGTTGATCCCAGAACACCTTGACATTGCGCATGGAGTTAATTGGTTCTGGATGGTATTTATAATACGGACAATACTTATCGACGAGTTCCATTTTCTGAGCCATAGCTTGATGCACTACCTTAGCTGCATTGTTGTGTCTCTGCGAGTATTCCTTACCCGCAAGTATTGTGCATCCCGATGTTACATGTTGAATTGATTCAACTGCCTTTTTGCATAAGCGACATAAGTCATCGATGCCCTCTCCACATATATGTTTTCTGTATGCTATTGTGGCTATTACCTGTTCTTGAATAGCAAACAAGAATCCTTCTGTTTCCAGGAAAGATACTTCCACTCTTCAGCCATGTCAATGACGCCTCAGCGTCCACTCCTACATCCATTAATGAGTGATAAAATCGTCCGTTATTATTTTATTTGTCAACACTTTTACAAAAGGTTTATTTATTTATTTTTTTTTGTTTACTTGAGAGGGGGAGAATCAACTCCAACCACCTCAGGTATGTTCAATTTTAATTTCTATTGAATGTTGAGAAAGCTTCTTACAATTCTGGCAGTATTCAGCAGCACCGCTTTCTGAGCTTCCTTTATTACATGAGTTGGGAGGCCCAGCCTCTCAGTAGCTTCCACAGTAGACACAGGTATCAGGCCATTGCTGGAGATCACAATGCCCCTGACGGTTACTTTATTAAGTTTATACAAACTTTTTAACTCAGCTGCTAGACCTTGATATTTCCGATTTTTTTCTGCACAGACTGAATTAATGTTTCCGTCATTTGGCACAGCAATATCTATAATTTCAGCCACCTTACTATTGCCGTCAATTTACACAATATCAGGTCTGTTGTGGATCACGAGATGGTCTTTTATAAACGATTGATTCCAATATAATTTTAAGCCATCTTTCTGGCAAATACCTTTAGGGCAATATTTATAGTAGGACATCGAGTCGTTTAATAATTTAATTTTTAGACCAATCGCCTGGTGATAGACTTTGGCAACATCGTCATGTCTTTTTAGGTATTCTGTACCTGCAAGAGCTCCGCAGCCTCCAGTTATGTGTTGGATGGATTCATATGTGCTTGCGCAGAGCCTACATTTGTCTGATACATTCTGTTGCTTCAAGACGTGTCGCCAGTAGGATCTGGTAGCTATAACCTGGTCCTGGATTGCAGTTAAAAAACCTTCAGTCTCCTCCTACCAGCCAGCTAACAGACAATGATTTATCTATTTCAGTCTGCTGAAGCTGGTGAAAAACCTTCCATGTAATGCTTTTGACTTCCATTCTTCCAGGCGGTCTTTGTCGATAATAAGGATTGGCGCAGTTTCATGAGAGGCTAATTGTAGAGCAGTGTGCCGCGTTTATTATTATTATTATTATTATTATATTATCGCTGAGGGCTTGGGTTTAAAAGACTCCTCCGGTACCGGGAGTTGTCATATATTAGGTATCCCGGCAAAGGCGGTGCTGTGCACACGGATTAGCCTGTTTGGCTACCCCGCCCTCCATAAAACTCATTCTTCTACCCTCTCACTTATTCGTGTTCCTCAGGGATCTTCTCCCTCTCCAACTCTTTTCTCCTATATGTCAACGGCCTTCCCAGTTTCATCCATTATTCAGAATACTACTTATATGTTGACGATCTCTAAATCTACCTTTCCTTTTTTCCTGAGTTGCTTGAGGCGATCCGAAGACAGATATAAAGAAGATATAAACAGTATTCATACTTGGGCAGCGAATAATTATTTATTTTTCTGATCTTTGGAAATTCTTCATGATAAAAATGATTCTAAAACCCAAAAAGCCACCTGAATACCCATCCTCTTACCATCCTATGCCACTGCTTCTCATCATGGGCAAAATACTAAGAAAAATTTTTATTAAAACGCTTTTCCCAATTCTAGATTCAAATTAATTGATTCCTGGCCATCAGTGGATTTCGAACATCTTATTTCACTATTCAATAGTGCCATGGTGTGTTGGATGTCATTACACTGGACCTCAGAATGTATTGCACGGCAGCTCTTCTCGATGTGGGACAGACTTTTGATCGAGTCTGGCATGCAGGTTTGCTGTGAAAAATCCGTCAATTTCCGTCCCCTACATATTCTCTACTTATCCGTTCTTATCTCACAGATAGAACCTTTAAAGTAAATTGTAACTCTGCATATTCACCTCTCTTTGCCCAGTCCGCTGGTTTTCCTCAAGGGAGCATCTTAGTTCCCATCCTTTACACAGTATATACAGCTGATATCCCAACTCATCTTTCAACCGTCCTCACTACCTATGCTGACGACACATATGTGTTGTCTGTCAATAATGGACCTACTGTTGCATCACAATCTCTGCAGTTACACATTTCAGCCATTGAAGAATGGTGTGAAAAGTGGAGAATTAAAATTAATGCAAATAAATCCCAACAAATTACTTTTATCCTTCACTCTTTTTTTTCATCACAAGATATGTCCGCAGGGACTTGGTTGGAAGTCTCAATGCGACCCGCGGAACTTATTTGAGATCTTATTATTAGCCAGCAACCCAATAAGTTTGGAGACCCCTTTCATAGAGCCTTCAATAGTATGAATTTTCAAAAAGCAAGCGTAGTAGATTTGATTTATCACAAAACGCGCCGCAACATTGTCTAGATCTCTAGTATTACACTATGTTCATTTTACTGTGTTCTATGTTCTATATGCAGTAAGGAATAAAAACAAATGTTCGGCACTAAGCATTTGTGGCTTGTATTTCGAAATGTGACCCCAGGACGGTAGGGACATTTGTCGCATTGCTCAGCGCCGCCTTTATCTAAGTGCGAAGGCTAAACTTGGATTTATTATATGAAAATTCGAATCTGGACCTCGCTAATCCGAGAAAAATTGCAAATTATTTAATCGTATAAATTTGAATTCCCGTTTTAAAAGGTGGGTACACTGCAGAAAGCTCACACAGAAACTATTCCTGCATTGTCTTAAATAATAGCTTCTGTATTTGAATCACGTCTTGATTTATACAATTAAAAATAACAAAAATTACCATTAGAATGAATTACCTTCTTGATGAAAAATAAATATTCAAAGTTTTTATTCTAAACAATGAATATTGCTTCTTTGGTATAACGATTGTATTTTAAACTTAGAGCGGGAAGAAACTTGTTTTAATATTCTGTGATTTTGTAAAAATATTTTGGTTGTTTAATTAAATAATATAATTGTTCACTTTCAGTGTTTAGTATAAGCAATAAAAGTAAGTTTTATCTGTATAAAATAGATTGTATATTGCCTCGTCTATATTGTGCTTTTCAATTAATTATTATCAAACAATTATCACAAAGCTTAAGTTTTAGTTTTGTACTTGTGTGGAACTTATTTTAAGTTAATCGATTTTCTCATTTACATTTTATTTAAATACAGCTTTTTAAATATCTCATATAGAAATAGCAGATTTTGTCAATTTTTTAATTTAATTTTCTTTACATTGATTTCTTTTAATTTATTTTTTAACTTGTCATTGAAATCCTTATGTAGAGTATCCTTAAAGTATGAGATCTTAAGATGTACTTCATTTTATATTCTAATCTGAATTCAGTTGTATTAAGCTCCTCTTATAGTCAGTATTATTGAATGTTTTATATATTAGGATAACCAGTATTAATATTGTAATATACCTTTTAGATGATAGATATTTTGACAAATTTTAGTATTATAGGTTACCAGAGAATCATTCTTATTAAGATCTTGTAAGAATGATACTCAGGATCATTTTATGTATTTCTTTATCTTAGGTATTGACTGCTTTCCTTAAAATGAAGAAATCATTGGGCAGGAGGTCATCATCTCGTAATCCTGTTAGGATGATGACTTTCACTGAATTTGAAAGTGCTAAGTAAGTGTTGTTATTGGTGCCGTTAGGAACTACTTTGTGAATAATTTCTAATTCCAGTTCCTATGTTTTTGAAGGAAAGATAAAAAATCAAGTATTCCTGTAAGACGTGCTCATTCAGTGGAAAGGAAAATTGGTATGGCAACTCCTGTAGGTAAGAGATCCTGTAGTGAAGATCGTAATAGTATGGTAACGCCAGCTACATCCCGCAAAACATTTGGAACTGAGAGACCATCAAGGTTGATATCTATTTATTTGACTTATTTGAGAGTTTATAACAATATTGATAGTTTAACAACTACAGTAATAAAGTTATTTCAAATACTTAAATTTATTTGTTCAACACATATTAAAATAGTTTGTTTACCTTAATTATGAGTGTATATATATTTATAAACACATACAACCTACAATCACACATACCTCGTGATGCATTATGAAATATTTTTTAAACAATCTGGTTCGCGCATTACACAACTTTCAATTGCTTTACTTTGAATATAAAATATTTTCTGGCAATGTTGGACCATTGCAAAGTTTTTGAAGTGCAGTTTTAAAGCTAAGCCTTAAATCTTACAGCTAGGCTGTAACAACTCGAGGCCATTAAAATTTGGTTATTTGAACTCAAGAGACATAAAAAATGTTTTTCTGTTGAAAATTCAGTTTCAAATTTGTTAATGATAACATTACTTTCTCTTACTATATTATCCGTTTATAGATATATAATAGTAAAACATTGAAAATGAATTATATATTTTAACAAATAAGAAACTATCCAATTATCTTTGGTACAAAAATCTTTTTAAAAAATATGAGTTATTAACTATTTTTAAACTTGATATTACCAATTACTCACTCAGTAATCAATCGACGCCTAAATAAATCAAAGCCATTGTCAAGAAAAATTCACCGAAACTAAACATTTAACACATCATTTTTGCTAGATCCACTACTGCACATTTACAAATGTCATAAAATAAAAAGATTTATTTATTTAATTTTATTATGATTTAATCAATATTTCTTTTATTTAATTGTGTGAAGATCTAATGATAATTACCTACTTGGGGATCGGTGAAGTTGAGTAAAATTAAAGCATTCCGATGTTTATTATAACTCTAAATGAATTTATTAATATCTTTGAAAATAGTGGGTAAATTTTTATTTTCCTATGAAATTTAACTTATATAAAATATTGTATAGTATCTATTTATTTTTCAGAACTACTACCATGAGTACAAACTCTACTAGACTTAGCAGTTTTGGTGGAGCAAGAACTATGAGAGATTGCCGTACCATTGAGGACAAAGATTGGCAAATAAATGCCCAAAGAAAAGTATTTAAGTTGTTTCTAAATTTTATGATAATTAAGTAATATAAAGTGTAAAAATCTGGTGTGTTGCGTTCATCACACAACCTTTACCCGCAATCTTTCTTTTAGGAGAAATTGGTATTTTCAGACAAGAAGGAAGAGAAAGTAAAAATCACTGACGGTACAAAATATTTTTTGAAACTATCAATTACCATGTGTTTTTCACAGTCATCTAATGTATTATATTTTTTTTTTCTGCTATTCATTATCTTTAGCAATTGTACCTATATATTTCAGTTATTTATTTGATTATAATAAATCAAGTGCCACAAAATATTTTTAGTCCGACATGGACTACCAATGACAATGAAGGCCGTTAAATTTAAATATATTTCATTTTAGGTATTTTTATTTGTTTAAGCATTGGTAAATATATATATACATTTTAATTTTTATATTCTGTAATCTATAGAATTAAAAATGTAAATGTTTGTTTGTTTATTCAAAACTGCTAATCTCCAAAACTTTTTCACTGATTGCTTTGAAATTTTTACATAATGTTTCTATTGGATTTAGAAGTGTTTTTATATGCATATATTTACCCTCCGTCCTTTCGTTTCAGAAAGATGGCCGAGAAATGTGTGTCATTATAGACTGTAGCGCCTAAACGGATGTAACAATTTTAAATAAACTTGGCTACAGTCTTCTCCTTGAAGCCCTTTTAATATACGTTTATAACATCCTTCCCTGAAAAGAGTATGAAAAAAAAAGTTACAATAGATTCTGAACTATATTTGCCAATAACTCATAAAGTACACAATTTTTGATTAATTATATCCATGATTATTTGGAAGCTTCCTGAATTACCCGCAAAATTATAGAAAAAATTACTAAAATTGAACGATTTGGTGCAGGGATATATTATGTTTTAAACATTGAGCACTTTTTCTTCGGAGATTTAGAGACGGATTACTTCTCACATAGACAATTATATGTTGTGTATTCTAGAGTTAGAAACTCAGACATTCTCTATATCTACACAAATAATAGAACAAACAAAAAAATCGCAATTATTGTAAAATAAAATATACTAGAAACATCTGCTTTCTTTTTATTTTATTTTTTTCTATTCAACCAGACTGAGCCACAGCAACATGTGTCCGCCTTAATAGCTAGTATTAAGTAATATCAAAGCTAGCATTTATGAAAACCGGTCATGCTTATGTATAGAATCCTGTTCTAACCTCCGGCAAAACTTGGCTGAGCGCTCGTGTTTCATTGGTTCTCTATTCATAACGAATTATATTGGGTTACTTCTCCTTGATATAATTATTGGATTCTTTCATATTTAACCATTTTTTATGCCAGGTTCCAATGTGAAATAATTATTTATTTCAAATTTTAAAAAATCAAAGGTATTTCAGAGGAAGAAATTTTGAAAATTATAGGTTTCATTTTCAGTTCAGTTTCAATTCATTTTAAGATTTTTATTGTTGCTGACGTTTCAATCCAAGCATGTGGATCATCATCAGGGCTGACAAAAATTTATTACAATCAGAGATATAATATTATAAAACAGATAATAATTAGTAATGATAAATAGTGATGTATGAAACATGAAATGGAACAATGGAATATGTAATAAGCTACGCAAACTATAAAATAATATACATAATCAATTTATAAGAAATGTAATATTTAATATTACTAACCATGTTACCAGCACTGCAGTATTGGACAAAATTGATCTTAAATAATAGATAACAAATGATTTATTTGTATTTTCAGCTAAGTATAACGAATATTTCTGTTTAACTTTTATCTAAATAATAAATAAATTCAAGTTATATATTATCTATTTATTTGTAATGCCAGTTTATCAATTAAATTTCGAATAATTTAACTGTAAATTTCTTTTAACGGGTCTTCCAAATATGAAAAATGGCATTGAAATTTTTCCAAATTTTCCTCTTTTATCTTGTAAATCGATGATTGGTTTTTCACCATTCCAAAAAATTTCTGCCTATGTAGAAATAGGCAAAAATGGGGACATAGAGTAGAAAATTGTTTGAATTTTCAATTGCTTTTTCTTTTTTATCTTAGTTGATCCTTGATTTTTCACCTTTCCAACAATTTTCAAATTGTTTGCAGGTAGGCAAAAATGGAGTTCATTAAATTTTTTCCGAATTTTCATTCGCTTTTTCTCTTTTATAAGGGAATGGGGTGGCTTAGCGGTAGGGTGCTGAGCTTCCAATGCTCTCAAGGTCTCAGATTCGAATCCCGGCTTATGGCAGATAAATTATTTATTCTGTTTCATCAGCCATGGATCGACTCTGGGGCTGGGGAACCCTCCCGGGGCTCACCCAGGCTCTGTACAGTGGGTACGCTTAATTAAGGGAGAAAACCTGGTGCTTGAGCGTGATCTCAGCCAAATCACCTCCTTGCGCAACCGTTGACTAAAAAACAGTACCTTCCCTACATAGTACTGAACCCAAGATACTTCATGGGTTGTAGTGGTACAGGTTTCCTCTTTTGTTGCTGCAATGAAGGACAAGGATGTGCAATTTGAAATCTGACAGTATTTTCTTTTAAATAAAATGAAAAAATCTTTAAAATTAAAAAAAAAATATTTTTATCTTAAGTAATGAAAAATAGATAATGCAGATTATCTGTAAATAATGAATAAAAAATAATTATCTGTACAAATATCATCAAATAAGAATAACAAATAAAAATTTATATAATCTTTATCTAGATAAAATTTCTAATAATACCCACCACTGCAGCACTGAAGGTGTTCAAGTACTGGCATCTAGGCAGGTGAGAGGGTTGGAGAAGGATTTTCCAAATGTGTTTTTAAAATAGCAAAGTTAGGTAAACAAAATCAGGGGGGAGGGCATTATCCATGAGTAACATTATTGTCTGTGAAATATAGCAATCATTTGATAAATACAATATTCAAGGTAACTTGTATACAATAACTAAGTTATTTCTTATAGTTGAAAAATTATAACCATTAGCTTGTAATGAAATAATAATAAATAAGAGAGTAGAGATGATCATCATTACAGACATAAAATAGTTTGAGTAAAGATATACAATAGTTTGACTATTAAGACCCACATTCTTGGGTTGAAACATCGGCAACAATACTGATTTTAATATGACTGTGTCATGACTATTTATCACATATAAATTGTGAAAACGTATTTCAAATTTTCAAATTTGATTTTTCATAGTGTAATTCTTTTAAAATTTAATTTCCTAAATATAACCTATCATGCGTTTATAGGAGTAGCTAATCTTATAGCTAGTTACAATCCTGTTAATCTTGTGTTTTGGATTCAGAGGTCTTGCATTCTTGAAAATTAGCTGTGATATAAGTTTTTTAGAGTTAAAGAAAATGAATCATTTAACAGAAACAAACGATATGCCAAACAGTTTAGTCCAAGATATGATTATATAGCGAACTCAATCCTGTTAAACTTTCTTTTAAATTTGATACATGAGGATATGTATTATGCTATTCGAACAGTTAACTCCTGGTTTATGGAAGTTGGTTACTTCAAAACCTGAACTGAATGTATCATTATTATTGCACTTCTTTGCTTTTGGAGTTGTGTGCCTTTATATTTTGAAGTTGAGTTCTGTCTTTAGTTGTCCTGAGTCCTACTCAGGTCTAGGATGATCTTTGTCTTCTCCACCTCCAGTTATCTCTGGCATGAGATCCAATTCTATTCTGAAGGTCTCTTCTTTTTCAGGACTCTGAAATTGTATTGGTCCAGAACCTACGTCTTCTACTGTTAAAGAAAGCTTACAAAACTATGGTAGATGGATCTCCTAGCTATTAAGCTGTAGAAATTATTTTTCTGTAAGGCTCTTCCATGACAGAGTTAATATTTTCAAATTTATGACCGAAATAATCAAGTGTGGTGTGTTGTGCGTGGATGTGGCTGTGAATACAAAAGATATTCGAACAAGCACCCAATCTTGGCCGAAAGAATTGAACAGGCTTACGTGAGACGTGCTTAATATAATATTATATCTATATACATCTGTGATTTTCATAAATATTAGCGTTGGTATGATTTAATATTTAATTGTTTAGATTACATAAATATAAAAATTAAAATTTTAATGTTTACAATGCTTAAACAAGCAAAGACACCTCCAATGAAGTATAATATAGCGGCCTTCTTTATGAGTGGCACTGTAACTGAACTGAAAATATTTCATAAAACTTAATTATTTATTATAATTAAATAAATAATTATAATATACCATCATAAAAGAAAATGTTTAATGATAAAAAACATAAATATAACACATTAGCTTTACCCGGCTACGCTCTGCTGTGGCTTAGTCTGACAAAATGGAAAAGAAAGAAAATAGAAAGTACAAATGAGTGGGTTAATACCGAAGGACATCTATCATTTTTAAAAAGTTCAGAAACAAATTTTTCTGTACCATAGCTTCAATTTAAACTAATTCTAATGATTTTTTTTTATGATTCAACTTGAACGTTCTTAATCATCTGAGTGAATATGCCTTTAATCATCAGAAGCAGTCAGTGTTGAACTTATAAAACTGAAATTGACTTCATCTCCGCTTTCTGAAAATGACAGAGACCCGTCTTTGATATGAAGCCACTTATATATTTTCATGTTTAATTTTATTATTATTATTTTTTATATTGAATGTATTGTTTAATGTTCAGCTTTCTTTTGATTATTTTATGGCAAATAAAAATGTAAATGTTAGTTTGTTCAAACTCTTAAATCTCTGAAAGTTCTTCACACATTGCCTTGAAATTTTGGCTTAATGTTGCATTTAAATACGCGTGTGGTTTAATATACCTACTATTATAAATTATAAGGTGAAACTAAGCATATTTATTAAAAACGCACCATCAGTTGGATGTAAAAGAAACACATGAGGTTCAAAATATTTTATGATACTGTTTCAATGTTCAAGATTTTCAAAATCAAACATGGCAATGCATTGAAATTGCCCTATACCATTTA